CCAGGGCAAGGGGCCTTCCAATTTAGCCAATAGGAAATTATAATTACAGCCCGATACAAAACTCGGGGAACCGAAGAGATTCTAACAGGCAGACATGACCTCCACACAGTTTCCGCCAGAGCTTCAACAGCCACAACGCGGCGGAAAAGCGTTTCCGAGTATTCCAGAGCAGTTTTCCCATTCCAGGTGAGTTTACAGATTTAATATACGGTCGCCACAACGCAGGATGTTGTTTTTATGGCAAGCTTTCTGTCCCAGCTCTTCTCCAAGCAACCCAACACGTCCTCCTTCGCCGGCAATACAGGAGGGGAGGCCACCTGTTTCGATAAGCGGTCCCAGAGCGTGAGAGTCCTAGTCCTGCCATCAAAAAAAGGACAGTAGGCAGAAAGGGAAATCAAACCTTTTAATGCGATTTTAAGATTATTCCGCATCTACGGAAACTCTCTCAAACTCTGTTTAAGACTTTTGAAGCAGGATTCCTCCTCCCTCGTCCGTTCCGTGGGCGGGAAAATAGCAGCCACCCAAAGAAATCCACCTTTTTAATGGCATTTTAAGGTTATTTTTCTTTCTCCATAAAACCTTATTAATATTAGGCCATCCTAGGTTTTCTTAACTTTTTTATTTATTTATTTAAGATTTTATTGATTTTTCAATTAGAAACAATAACATAAATACGATGCAATTCATCACAATATCAAGCAAAAAAAAAATAACACTACTCAATACATTCACGGAAGTGTCCGGTGCCCCCCCGCACCCCCCTCTTTCACTTTCCATACCTTCCTCCTCCCTAACCTCAACCTCTCCTCCTTCCTCCCTCTCTCCTACTTCCCTTCCTCTCTCAACCATCCCGTCTGGTGCAGTTGGGGTATCCACCGGGCACCTCCTTAAAAAAGTATCACATATATAAATCTACAATACATCAGTTTATATACATATCTATTCCCTTTCCCCCCCTCCCCCCCAAGACTTCCCAGAGCTGAACCAGGTAGTAAACACACAATAATCCCATTCTATCCAAAGCTACTCATTATTACAACACACTAGTATAAACTTACTGTGACTCTAAAATAACATTAAAATTCATACAAATTTTATAAATATAACAATTATTTGTTTTTATATATGTTTATAAAAAAGAATTTTTTTAATCAAAAGCTACATGATAATTATTCAGTTCATATTTTCTCTGAATATAATCTATCCATCTTCTCCATATTGAGATAAATTTCTCCTGAGAACGATCCTTCAGGTACGCAGATATTTTTGCCATCTCTTCAAAATACGAAACCTTCCGTCTCCAATTATCCATAGTTGGTAAAGTCTTCTTTTTCCAATTTTGAGCAACTAGTATCCTTGCTGCTGTTCTACAATACAACATCAATTTCATTTCTTTTTGATCCAAATTATCCATAATACCCAATAAAAATAGCTGCGTTGTAAATTTTATCTTTTTCTTAAAAAATCTGTTGGATAATCCACCAAATCTTAATCCAAAAGGCTTTAACGTCCCTGCACGTCCACCAAATACGATAATAAGTTGCATCCATATTGTCCCATCTCCAACATTTTGGTTGCAAATTCGGATACACGCAAGACAACTTTTGGGGATCCAAGCGCCATCTATAAAACATTTTATAAAAGTTTTCCCTTAAATTCTGTGCTCGAGTGAACTTGACATTTCTTACCCAGATTACTTCCCAAGTTTCTAGCATTATCGGTTCTTGGATATTTTGTGCCCATTTGATCATACAGTCTTTAACTAATTCCGTTTCCGAATCAATTTCTATCAAAACACTATATATTCTCCTAATACGGGCTCCACTTTGATCTTTAATCTGTTTTATCAAGTTCACATCTTCTAAAATTAAACCCAATTTTTGATCTATACGCCATCTATCAACCAACCGACAATGTAGGAACCAGGACCGGAGTACGTTATCCCGTCTTAACTCACCCAACGATTTAATTTGCCAGTCCTGTCCTCTTAACATAAGTAAATCTTTATAAACAATTCCTTCTAATTTTACACCCCTTACTATTCCTCGTATCGCACGTTCCAGAATAGCCCACCTTGGCATTTTAAGGTTATTTTTCTTTCTCCATAAAACCTTATTAATATTAGTCCATCCTAGGCTTTCTTAACTTTTGAAGCAGATTTCTTCTTCTGCGCCTGCGTTGCAGCCAACGGGCCTCCCCCGGCCCTATCGATAAGGCGTTAATACCGTTAATAAAGAAAGAGAATACCGTAAGGTTTTCCACTTAGCTTCACAACCGCCCCAACATTACTCAGGAATTTAAAAGAGACAAAGAAACTCCCGAGCCGAGGTTTCAGCAAGCAAACAACTTTAATTTTGATCAAAATAGAGTTGGGCGACCCCATCTCTCTTCGTGGCCAGTAGAGAGACGAAGGCAACAACTAGAAAAGACGTCTTTCACTTTTTATACCTTTTCATAACAAAAAGATCAGGTCTCTGTACTAGGTATAAGACGGCACAAAAATATAATTGCTAGACGACGACTCACACAGCAACCCAGGCTCCATCCGTAACTCTTTCCCCCCTCCCCTTACCGTGCTCTTTTCATATAAGCAATCACCTATAACTAAAGCACGAAGCATCCGATGAAGCAATTAACTAAAAAATAACGCTTACAAAATAACAAAACAAGGATTACAGGATAACACTGTAAGAATCAATAAAAAACGGTTTCTATATATAAAATAAACACTAGGGTCAAACTTAAACCTACTAAAATCATAAGCACAATAAAATCCCTTCAATACCATAATCTTAAAATGCCATTAAAAAGATTGATTTCTTTTGGTGGCCGCAATACCCCTTTTTCCGTCCCATAGCTTTAGCTTTGGAGTCCATCATAGGCCTTTTTAGCGGCCTCCCTCCTCTAGCTAAGGCAGGGGTAGGCAACCTCGGCTCTTTTGTGACTCGTGGACTTCAACTCCCAGAATTCCCGAGCCAGCCACGCTAAGGGAAGGAAAAGAGGTCAAATCAGATACCGCAGCCACACAAATAAATAAACCTCTTTAATGGCGTTTTAAGATGATTATTTTTTATTATTAAAACCTTATTAACGTTAATAAGCCACGATAGGCCTTAATAATAATAATAATAATAATAATAATAATAATAATAATA